GTATTATGTACATAATATACTAAATTACTCTTTTCATGTTAATACTATCGTTCAGGGTTGAGGGAAGCTTACTCATTCGAAATATTCATAATATCCTCCTGACCTTAATTCCCATTCACTGTGTGGAGGTGATTCTTTTAATAATTTCTGTAAATATGTGTAGTTAGGGGACTCCAAATTTACTCTTACATCTAATTACTGCCAAATTACTTGTGGTTATTTGGTTGTATCTTAAGAACCTTGGTTGAAGATCATGGTCTTCTTTTTATTTTCAGTGTCTCCTCGGATTTTATTGTCTCCGGTAAACAAATCTGTTATTGTTGGAGACCCTGTCAGCTTTACTTGCCGTGCCTCAGGTGTTCCAACACCAAAAGTAACGTGGACATTTAATAGCCGTAAACTCCAATCGGGTATTAATAAAAAAAATTTTGATCGAGACTTATTCGTGGAATCATTCCTGGAAACGCCACAAACAACAAAGGAAATGGAAGGAACGTACAAGTGCATAGCAGAAAACAAAGCAAATACAACAAGTTCTTCCGCAACACTTCAAGTTTTTGGTAGGTTGAATAATAATCATATTAACAATAATAGTATACAATTCTTTCTTCTTTGATGTTATCTTCCCTGCTAATAGGTAAAACATGAGGGGTAAATGTTGACTGGTCTGAAGGTTGACCAAAAATAACTGACAGTGTGTTGAGACTGATTCTTATAATAATTGTTTTGAGATGGAGTCTTGATACCCCTGGAGTCTTAATACCCCCTGGAAATTCTCCAAGAAAATTTAGTCAAAGAGTTGAAATACTAACGTGGGTGTAAGGTATCTGGGAAAAATACTGTAATGAGTTGTGGGAACCATAGTTGTTGCGCAGGCGCCATTAACCAATTGTTTGAGATTACTTTTTTATATGATCACTTTGACAGTTTGTCGTGGTCACTCTGATCATTTTAATCCAATAGATTTTTATCACTGCAGCGATTTGTAAAATTGAATGGTGCATTACATCTCATGAGAATATTAATAGCAACAAAGGGCTGGGTCTGGGGTTGCCAAGAAGCATCTTGGAAACTCTATTTGGAGGGCTGCTTTTGGATTGCTTCGTGTCCATGATAATTGCCTTACTAAGGTATTGCGAGTAAGTTTTTTTTTTCATAAGCAAATCAAGATTTATATACATGTACATTACATAACTCTTTTTCAACACAGAAAAACCAACTGCGGAATTGAGTCCAAAACCATATCCAACCTTCACTTCAGGTGATGAGCTTAGGTTAACTTGCATTGTCAACAAAGCAACAGTAAATATCACTTGGAAAAAAGATGGAGACGAAATAAGGAAGAGAGCGCACATCTTTACGCAATTGGATGAGAAAAAAGGTTACCTGCATATTGCAAAGCTTGTGGAGGAGGACATTGGTGAATATTCCTGTGAAGCTCGTAACCGACTTGGAAATGTGGCTCGCTCCACAGTGACAATAACCCGTAAGGTGGCATTATTGTAGTATCCTGGATTAACAATCTTTTATCTAACAGCAATTTATATTCAACTTAAATGAAACCTGAAAGTTTGCATTGTTTTAAACATGCAGTAACTGCTCTTTTTTTCTTCTTTTTTTTTTTAAATTGTTGTTATTGTATTGTTTTTTGTGGTAAGTATGAGTCTCGAATGAAAATTTAGGTCTCTGGCCTCCTAAATGCAGTAGAACCTCCTTTAAGATACTGGTGTAATTTGTTGCAATATCATCATGATCATATGTTTCCTACTGGGCAGTGGGAATTGTTCTTCATCCAATTTGCCGAAAGGCAGGTTATTTCTCTACTACTCTGGAGGACTAATGTAGTAATGGTGACGATAGTAATTGGAACTTAATAGCTATCAGGGTAATGATGGTGATGGATCCATTTTAACAATAATAGTCTACAATTCTTTCCTCTTTGATATTATCTCCTTTGCTAATGTGTAAAATAGGAGGTGTAAATGTTAGCTAGTCTGAAGGTTGACCAAACACTACTGACAGTGTGTTGAGACTGGTTTTTATTATAATTGTTTCGAGATAGTCTTGATACCCCTGGAAATTCTCCAAGAAATATGAGTCAAAGAGGTCAAATACTAACTTGGGTGTAACGTATCTGGGAAAATACCATTAACCAAGTGAGCGAGATGACTTTTTTTCTGTGTGATCAATCTGATAGAAATATTTATCACTGTAACGATTTGTAACATTGAATGGTGCAATAATTATGTCATGGTAATATTAATAGAAACAAAGGGCTGGTTTTGGGGTTACTTTGAAGCGTCTTGGAAATTCCGTTTGGAGGGTTGCTTTTGGATCTCTTCGTTTCCTTGATAATTCCCTTACTAAGATACTGAGAGTAAGGTTTTTTTTTTTCCTAAAAAAAAGAGAGATTCGTTCACATGTACATTTTCTCTTTTTCAACACAGAAAAACCAACTGCGGAATTGAGTCCAAATCCATATCCAACCCTCACTTCAGGTGATCAGCTTAGGTTAACTTGCATTGTCAACAAAGCAACAGTAAATATCACTTGGAAAAAAGATGGAGACGAAATAAGGAAGAGAGCGCACATCTTTACGCAATTGGATGAGAAAAAAGGTTACCTGCATATTGCAAAGCTTGTGGAGGAGGACATTGGTGAATATTCCTGTGAAGCTCGTAACCGACTTGGAAATGTGGCTCGCTCCACAGTGACAATAACCCGTAAGGTGGCATTATTGTAGTATCCTGGATTAACAATCTTTTATCTAACAGCAATTTATATTCAACTTAAATGAAACCTGAAAGTTTGCATTGTTTTAAACATGCAGTAACTGCTCTTTTTTTCTTCTTTTTTTTTTTAAATTGTTGTTATTGTATTGTTTTTTGTGGTAAGTATGAGTCTCGAATGAAAATTTAGGTCTCTGGCCTCCTAAATGCAGTAGAACCTCCTTTAAGATACTGGTGTAATTTGTTGCAATATCATCATGATCATATGTTTCCTACTGGGCAGTGGGAATTGTTCTTCATCCAATTTGCCGAAAGGCAGGTTATTTCTCTACTACTCTGGAGGACTAATGTAGTAATGGTGACGATAGTAATTGGAACTTAATAGCTATCAGGGTAATGATGGTGATGGATCCATTTTAACAATAATAGTCTACAATTCTTTCCTCTTTGATATTATCTCCTTTGCTAATGTGTAAAATAGGAGGTGTAAATGTTAGCTAGTCTGAAGGTTGACCAAACACTACTGACAGTGTGTTGAGACTGGTTTTTATTATAATTGTTTCGAGATAGTCTTGATACCCCTGGAAATTCTCCAAGAAATATGAGTCAAAGAGGTCAAATACTAACTTGGGTGTAACGTATCTGGGAAAATACCATTAACCAAGTGAGCGAGATGACTTTTTTTCTGTGTGATCAATCTGATAGAAATATTTATCACTGTAACGATTTGTAACATTGAATGGTGCAATAATTATGTCATGGTAATATTAATAGAAACAAAGGGCTGGTTTTGGGGTTACTTTGAAGCGTCTTGGAAATTCCGTTTGGAGGGTTGCTTTTGGATCTCTTCGTTTCCTTGATAATTCCCTTACTAAGATACTGAGAGTAAGGTTTTTTTTTTTCCTAAAAAAAAGAGAGATTCGTTCACATGTACATTTTCTCTTTTTCAACACAGAAAAACCAACTGCGGAATTGAGTCCAAATCCATATCTAACCCTCAATTCAGGTGATCAGCTTTGGTTAACTTGCAGTGTCAACAAAGCAACAGTAAATATCACTTGGAAAAAAGATGGAGACCAAATAAAAAAGACAGCCGACATCTTTAGGCCATTGGGTCAGAAAAAAAGCTACCTGCTTATTGCAAAGGTTGTGGAGGAGGACATTGGTGAATATTCCTGTGAAGCTCGTAACATACTAGGAAATGTGGCCCGCTCCACTGTGACAATAAATGTCAACTGTAAGTTGGCATTATTGTAGTGTCCTATAAACAATCTATTATTTAACAGCAATTAATATTTCAAGTTGAGTGTTACCTGAAAGTTTTGAGTTCTTTTAAACATGCTATTGGCTACTTTTTTTTCCATTGCTGTTGTTGTTGTTGTTGTTGTTTTTTGTGGTAAGTATGAGTCTCGAATGAAAATTTGGGTCTCTGGACTTTTTAATGCAGTAGAACCCTCCTTTAAGATACCGGTATAATTTGTTGAAATATCATCATGATTATTTGTTTCGTACTCGGCAATGAGAATTGTTCTTCATCCAATTAACAAAAAGGCAGGTTATTTCTCTACTATTAAGGGGGGGGGGGGGGTTGACCTTGCGATTGACTAGAGGGGGAATGGAAATACTCCTGGTTTCTTATGCTACAAAAACCGGAGTTAAGCACTGGCCTGATGGGCCACTTTGCTTGTAAACAGACTTCACTTTATGGTTATTTGGTTATATCTTCTACAACATAGTTTTTATTAACCTTCCTTGGAATTTCTTCCATGAAATAGTAACCATTTTTAATGTGCCAGGGAAACTCTAGCGAAAGATAGATTCCAGGGAGGATGGGTAATGCTGGGTAAAAACCTTTCCATTGTCATGATCACGTGTGCTAGCTTTGTCATTTGGTAAATGGCCATGTATTAAACGTATTCCAACAGCTGTGAAGAGGAGTCCATCTCTGATGTGGTATTATATTGTTGGATCAATGGCTGCTGTCATTGCTATTTTGCTCGTATGCTGGTATATTTGGAAGCGTCGAAGGACAGGTAAGACTCATTCTTCATATCTTATCCTTGGCACCTTTTATAGAGAAAAGTTGTGTCAGAAGCAAATATTGGACTAGTTTATGCTTACTTTTACTTCACCCCATATTCCAATTGTCCTCTTCAATTTTGCTACTTGGTAGGTATTAATATCGTCTCGGTTTGCTGAAAAAATGAAAAACGTTCTGGGTACTATTGGCATGTTTTTACTGTTATTGATTTATAATCTACCATAGAGTTGGCGTGATGTCTTAAACGATTTTGCCGACATAACAATATTTAGATTTAGATTTAGATTTAAACCGTCGAACTTCTTGGCACAAAGAATTCTGAGTAAACCACTGACTTTATTAATAATAAATTGTTAATGTTATTGTTATTAACAATATTTTAACTATCATTATCGTTGTTATAGGTTGTGACATTTTTGATATTCCTCTTTTTACTACTTTTTTGAAATTCCCTTCACCACCTAAGTACATAACATTTTTATTGAAATACTCAAGTTAAGCAGAATTTTTTCCTTTGTTTCTTTCTTCATTTATCATTTGAAACTACAGCTGCTGCTATGGCTCTGTGAGTTAATTAGTTTACCTTTTATGTACTCGGTAAATTGGAATGTATTTGATAGAAAAAGACATTGAAGTTGCTGGGGTCTTAATGTCATTTCAACCATTCCATTTTGAATGTTTAGAGCCACTGGCCATAAATATCGTGAATCCGCCGACAGTTGCAAAATTTCGTAATTCATTATATTTTTCCTAAAAGACTTTTGATGAACCTTGTTGAAAACTTTTATCAAAAAGTTCTATCGCACTTTTCTTCCTCCAAAAAATCCAAAAGTTCAAAATACGCGTAGATGGCCGTTTCCCTCCCCCCACCCCGTAAAGGAATGAAAGAGTAAGCAACTTTAGCTTCTTCGTGCACCACAACTCGATGCAATCCCGCTTTCAAATTTTGTGTGCGAGTTGATGATCCTTTTATCTCTTTGAAAATATAAATCTCTTAGTAAGTTGTCACGTTGAAGTCTGAATAGTGACCCTTTGAAATAAAATACTTCGCGTCCTTTTCGGAGAGGTAAAATATAGGCCAAATTCATTGAGAAAAATAACGCGATAGAACTTTTTAATATTTTCGACAAAGGTTCATTAAAAGGTCCTTTAAGAAAAATAGAGTGAATTACGAAATTTTGCAACTGTCTGCGGATTCTCGATATTTATGGTCAGTGGCTCTTAACTTGTCTGCATTTACGAGTTATTCTACAATCTTAGTTTTTCTGCACAAGAAAAAGTTGTTTTACCAGTGTCAGTGATTTTTATTCCATAAATTGAAGAAATAGGTCAAATAATTTAGACACGCAAAACCTTTCCTATTTTTTTTCTCGATTACTTATACTTTGATTTATAATAGAAACTGATTTTCATAATATTTAGTCCTAATCAAGGGGAGGCAGTTGAGATGGAACTGTTGAATGTAGAAGTGGATGAATGGGAGATTGAAGTGAAACGTGTCCTGCTTCAAGACGTCATTGGGCGAGGGGCATTTGGAGCAGTGTGGAGAGCTCTTCTTAGTTCTCCAAATGGGAGGCCTGGAAATCGCACAGTTGCTGCCAAATGCTTCACACGTAAGATCCAGTTAACTATCTTTCCTCAAATTACTTGGATAGGTACTTTACAGCCAAGGGGTGGCCTGTTCGGCGCTTGCAGTGATTGTTTATCTGAGGCACTCTGGGCGATTCATTTAAACTCCTTTAATAACGACAGTAAAAGTTTCAGTAGAAATAAAACATTTGAATATGGCAAGCATGTGCTTCAATCGCGAGAAAGGATTCCATCGCCAACCAGTTCCATTTTCACGAGTGTGAGCGCCACAAACCGAGCTTCAGAGACCTCCTAAAATGTGAGGTCTAAATTCTTACCCAAAGTTTTCTATCGTTAACCGCGAGAAAATTCGTCAATAAGTTTTTTTCCCTGGCTATAATGTAGATCGTTTTTGTTTTAGCCACTGCTGGGGAGGAAGGAAGGAAATGTTTGATGAGAGAGATCGAGCTGGGAAAAATTCTCGGTGAAAGCAATCAGCCCAACATAGTGAAGTTCATTGGCTGCGTCACTAGACAAGGTACATACTCAGTTTAAGGCATTATTCTAAGTATATGCAGTTACATTTTGACTTTTTAACATTATGAGATTGTTACTTTTGTTTGTTTTGGTTTTTTGTTGTTGTTGTTGTTGGATTTATTTTCCTTTTGTGCGTTATTTTAAGTTCATCCGATCCTCATCATGGAATACTTGCCATGTGGTGACCTGCTTGGTTACATGAGGAAGTGCCGCGGAATTAAGGATCGGTATTATCTTGGAGAAGGAAGAGCTCAAGATTTGGACAACTATGACCTTGTGCTATTTGCCAAACAAATCGCCACTGGAATGGTATTCCTTGGATCAAGGGGGGTAAGTAAACAAATTTCAACATTCAATTTTGCCTCAGATAAAGAGTAAGAGATTTTTATACCTTTTGATTGTCTTGAATATCGATAAATCTAGATTAAATGACCTTTTTGGATGCAGGTTTGATATTCTGAATGTTTCTTCAGGCCAAGGGTTCTTTTGATATTGTCAATGGGTCATCTGATGTCACAGTGATTTTGGTATTTGTTTAGTCTTTAATGAAAACCCAAGGAACAATAGTTCTTACAGCCCATTGTCATGGATAAGAATCAAGAATTTTCTGGAATTCTAGTTATGCTGACTTGCTTGCATGAACTTTCTGTTGAACCCTCTGGAATATTCAGTTAGGTTTTGTTGTTACGATGTAATACTACCGAAATATTTATATTGTAAGCTTCTTGAATGTACCGGAATACTTTTTAAATGTATATAAGGACTTAGTCGTGTAGTAGGAGTTGTTGCTGTTGTCGGAAAAGACCGCCTGTCTGAACACTATATCAAGATAGACAGACCTGCTGTGGAAGACTGTTTACCTTAAAGAATTTAGGAGAATTAAAACCGTGAAATTGAGGTAGTGGTGAGATAAGGTCTACACTGTAGTTTGTAGAGGGCTTAAGTAAGTTATTGAGGATAATTACTGTTAGTATTGTCTATTTGAGTCGCTCCTATTACACGTTTTGTAATAATTAGTTGAGTTTGTATGATTGTAATTTTTTCTGTCGGTTGAAGTTTACTGTAAAACCATGCAAACATCTGCATAATCTTCCCTTTGGTTTACATTTTGGATCTTTGTCTTTTGTTAGGTAATCCATCGTGACCTGGCAGCTCGAAACGTCCTCCTTGATAACAACTATGTGTGCAAATTGACCGACTTTGGCATGGCATATCAAAACTTCAAATATGGTCATGGAAATGCCAAAAAGGTAGATCTTCTTTGTCTTACCATTTTTACAGTGCCACTTGGAAACATATTCTTAGGATTAACACTAACTCTACTCTAATACTCGCCTTAATTACCAAGATAGTTCCACGTTTTGCTATGCTACAGGATAAAACTGAGTTTGTTGACTTTCCTGTTTTAAATTTATGACGACTGCTAAATTTTGACTTTTTAAAGTCTCGGAAAGAGTGCACCACCCACCTGAAGTGCCAAACAAATCTTAGTGTTTACAATTGTTAGCAGACGTGTCTTTTCTAACAAACTGGTATAATGGCACTAACTTGTCGTTGCAGGGCTGTTTGCCAATCAAATGGACTGCACCAGAGGTTTTGTTAGGAAACCTTGCTGGACTTTCCACCGCGAGTGATGTGTATGCATATGTGTGATGTATAGTCCTTTATTGAGCAGTTCATCTCTTTGGTTTTTATCTTAATAGGCTAATATCCAGCATTCACTTGGCAACATTGTTTTAAAATATTTTTCAGGTGGTCTTACGGAATCGTTCTGTATGAGATAGTAACCCTTGGTAAGTCAAACTATGTTCAATAAATATTTTTACCTACGGGCCATCCATGTCTGGAAATGACGTAAGAATCGTTCGTGGAACTTGTTAATCAGTGTCAATGCCTCCAAGACTCAACTGGCCAACGTTACTTTGATGAGCTCTAAAAAATAGATTTGTCTCGCCAAAGTTGACTCCAATGATGACTGATGCACAGACTGTCAAAGTTTGATTCTCTGTTGCTTCGAGACTTTTCCTCGCTCTGACTATCACACAAGGCGAGTAGTATTTTGTGTGCAACTCGAAATGACAAAAACTTCCATTTCTTACAAGTTACTTGATAGAAAAGTGGTCATCTATTGCATCAGGTTAGGAAACACCATGTTTCGAATGCTCTGATCAAGCACTAGAAGTGGATGGGATCTCTTTCTGTTTTAAATCTCAATATTTTTCAACAAAATATACTAGAGTATCACAGGCACATTTTCTATTCATTTACAGGAGGAATTCCATATGACGGATGGTCAGAAGGCAACGTAGTTGCACAGGTCACACGTGGCTACCAACTTCCAAAGCCCGATCATGTTGATGATAAACTGTGAGTCTTACTTTATCAAGTTATAATACCATGGTTCATTTTAAATCCCCCATTCCCCCCCCCCCCTCCTTCGCGGAAAAACATTGTCTTGTGACTAATCTGATTTCTCCTCTCGTTGCTAACTCTGTTAAATGAAGAAAGTTAGCAGTGATCAGTTTGTTTTGTTAAGAGTGTCTTTTCACTTTGAAAATTTTTGAAAATATCAATTTTCTGCTGTTATAGCCAGACATTTCTTAACATTTAACCATCATATGGCGAAGGCTTCAAGATTTCTGGGTTGATAGTTATCACTTAATTATTAAAACACAGTCCAGTATTGACCTTCATTCCTTAATTCTAGGTATGCTATGATGAAAAGATGCTGGAATTTTAACCCCGACTTTCGACCTCCCTTTGAGAACCTTCGCAAAAGAATGGATACCTACCTTCGTGAAGAGGTTTGTAGCATGATTTTAACACGTCTTTCACGTAGGGCTCAGTGATGATTTAACCCTCCCTGGATCACTGATTTCAACAGATTAACTGAAGTGATTCGGGATTGTATTGGTTTCACTTAACTTGTATTGGGGCTGCTTGGTTTTTTGAGGCTTCCTACTAGTAGTTACGTTTCTTACTATTTGTCATAGCTTATCAATGTTATTTAAGTTTTGACAGATAAACGCTCTTAAACATAAAACACGCTAAGATTTCTCGTGCCAACAAACTCATCAAACCCATCCCTCCCGCCATTTCGTCTACTTACCTTCTCTGCCCAACCCTCTGTGTCTTGAAATCGAGGGTCCTTGCTCTACTTTGAAGTGGTCATATTCATTTTCTACTTGACTTGACGTTAGAGAACATTGTGACGCTCATGAATAACCCTCTTTTATTGCTTTCACCTTTAGACATATCTGCACCTGCTCGACATGGGATCCTATGACACGACCAAATACTCCAGGGTTGAAGATCTCGAAAACGAAGATGCCGAACCAACAGCACGAGCTACAACGAACGCCGCGGCAAAGAGATTAGGAAAATGGGCCAGCGACCGTCGTTAGACACTGCCATTTTAAATACTGCTTGGGAACCTGGCCGCTAGGGTGCAATCGCTTTGTAGTACATCAAGTATTAGAAAATGTCTATTGATGATGAAGGTGATAATTTAAGGGTCTTCTTGCGTTAGAATGAACCAAGGCAGTGTCCTTAAGGACGAACTTTCAAGTCAATTGATAAACAACTCAATTTAGATCCAGCTGATTGAGACAGGATTAAAAAAACCAACGAGAAATTAGAAAACAGCTCGTTCATTTAGATTTCTGTATTAGGCAAACTATTTACTCTTGCTATATGTGAAACAATACGAAGATTCGTCAGCAATGATTCTAATGAAGTATTCCCTGCTGGTGATAAATACTTGTCAAGATGTTTAGTAGTTCAGCATTGATTTAGTCATGGAGCATAAACTACAACTAATATATTTACCTTTCAGTTAAGTGTCATTTATCGACAAGATCATTATTCGGTGACATATCTTGCAAGGTAGTATTGCATGAGTCGTAAAAATTGATTAAATTTAGTTTCGTTGGTATCGGAAAACAATCAAGTGTATTGTTATTGACGTATTTACCATAACCGTTTTACTGTTAAAGTTAAAAAGCTTCATCATAAACGGAGAGAACCGTCTCAATAGAGTGTTGGTTAAATCAAACTCATTCTTTTCCTATAGTTTTCGACTTGTACAAGAAACAAAAAGCGCTATTTAGAGGGGTAATGGCAGATGGGAACACCTTTGTTATGATTTCATAGACCGCTTATGTGAAAATGGAAATTCTATTAGAGCAAGGATGAGCGTTTTTTTCTGTACTTTATGGAAACGCACTCAGCTGTTTTTTTTTTTAAAATAATGTAAAACACTCTACAGAATATCTGCAATAAAAGAGGCATATCTTATGGCATTTTTCACAGTGTTGTATTACTAGTAAGCCACTCCAGATACACATATCCCTGCCGGGCTTTCCTCACAGATGACGTTCCGAAGTCAAACAATAGACCCACCTGGGTTGTTTTTGGTCAAAGTTAAGCGGAAATTTTGAACTTAATAAATGATATCTAATCATACTGAAAATTTCCACCTTTCAGAAAAGAAAATTCAAGATCGATTTTTCTTTTGCAGCTCTTTATATTTTTTTGTGTGACTAGCAAGCTCCTCGCTTTCTTGTTGAAATGTAATGAGCGAAACCTGGAGAGAGTGTTACTTGCGAAAGGGAGCTCCAACTGTGTNGACAATAAATCAAAATTGATAAAATAGTGAATAATAAAAACTATACTAGATTAGTTAACACAAAACCCGCACACGTGTTCTGTACTCTTTGAAGGCGTTTGGTCTGGTACTCTGGGAGAGGACTAAACACAACGTTGCAATAATCTAGATTAGAGAGTATAAGACTTTCCACCAGTCGTTTTCTTATGTGGTATGGTGAAACACTTCTGAAAGGACACCTGAACTTCAAAGAACATTTTTTTTTTTCATGATAGAAAACAAAGGATTGTTACACGATTCAGCTGTATATCCTTACTATAATGATATAAAAACTAGGTTGCAATGTAAATTCATTCAGGCTCTATGACAACCAAGAGACTGACACATCATGAGAACCCGGATGAAAAGGCTTCAGTCCATGGGTCGCGAACTCAGCGAACCGATATGTTAAGGGATAACGTGGAAGGCGAAAGCATTGTGAAAAATTCAACATCAACCTTCATGGAATATTGCCAAGGGTGGCCCATTGTGTAATCAGTCTGGGCTTTGATTAATGAATAAGAATGTATGGCAGAAGGAACTGTCATTCTTAGCATAGTTTGGGAATCTTCTGCTCTTAATAAAAGCTAATAACAAGAACACCGACACTCGCGATTGATTTAAAAGACCAGTCATATTTTAGTCATGTGCAATCAAGCTGTGAGTGAACTTCTCTCATGATTAATTTTGATCTGCAGGTCTCTTTCAATAGTAAACAGTACAGTTCTCAATATTTCCAATGAGTGGGCTGTGTTAAGAAACTTTCAATTTATTTCTTGACAAATTAAAATTTAACTAGAAATGCATGGTGATAAATGACTAAACATTAATATTAACGATTGCATCGATAACATTTTATCTTATACTTTATTTGCTAGAGTTAGGATAAATGATCAGTTTCGTGTTTAAGCTATATTTTTCGTGGACAGTTGGAAAATAGTACCCTCGTCAGTCCGTAGAATAATAATAATAATAATAATATTTATATACCGCGCACATCAAAAGCTTCTCGTGGCTTCTTTACAATACTATAAAGAGAAGAAGAGATACATCGGTCACAGCCATCCCCAAACAGCTAACGAAGAAATGGCAAACGACTTCCACTGACTAATCATTGTTAGCTCCCTCTATTAACTATGGACTTGCAACCCTAAACTAAAATTTGAGTTCAAGAAACCCATAATATCACTAGACTTTCTCTCCCTAATACTCACAAATTCTTATATTAAATCCCCCGAGCATATATGTTGTCCGCTTAGTAACAATTTCCCAGCCTCAGACCATAGTTAATAGAGAGAGCAATCTCCTCTACTAACTATCGGACGTTCAATTTTTGTCCAATGAGTGCCATGTAGGATTCGACGCAAGCATGGTACGAATTCTCCCAATATAATAAGAACAATAGCTAGATGTGCAACTCAATTGTGGATGACTTTACTGTTGATGTGCACGATAGCTGACAAAACACATAAGAGAATCGTTGGATGGAGAAGACAAAGAGCATAGTGTCAATTTACAAGTCTGAAACATTACGTTAAACAGCATGATACAATGACTAATTTTGACAGTGATCACCGTTGCCACCCTTCCTACCTAATGTTGCAAATAGGGGAGTGCTCTCTTGTTATTTTTCAAATTTCTTGAGGGATAAACACTTCTCTT